AAATAATGGGTGTTATTGTTTTATTAAATATTAGTTTTTTTTTTATTAATATATAGGAGGTTTATAGAAGGTAATAATTTGCTTATTTTTTCAGTGATTTTAGGGAACTAACATAAGTGTAAAAAATAGAGTGCGACAAACAATTTATGATTTTTGGTAAACCTTTAATACTTGACTATCAGTAAGAAAAGTTATTTTTTGAAAAACTTGAATATATTTTGTATGTATAATATATAATAGTGAAATTGACTGAATTTTTACATTTTTTCATTTATAAAATTTTGCTTTTTATTAAAATTAAAATTTTTTTTACACATTATGAGTAACTTAGAGGGTTTCAAATAGCAATGAAAGAACGGGTAAACACAAAAATTTATTAAATTTATTGAAATGTAGCTGACCATATAACGCTATTTTGATTATTGCTAAGTACTCATCAACTGTGATCTTAAAAAATATTCGAATTTCTTAATTAGTTCATAGTCCGTATACAATTTGTTCGGACTGCAAGTTCCAGGCTTAGGACTCATGCCTGTCAAATTATGAATAAACTATAAATAAAAATATCTTAAACTTTAAAAACCATTAAAAATAACAATTTTTCGATAAATAGTGAAGAATTTGCAAATTAGTCCAATTTTTGCGAGATTACATCCCATTTTTGGCTCAAAGTTATGTTTTTATACATATAATGGACTTACATCACCTAACAGAAATATAAAGGTTTTTAAAAACAATAAACAATTTCTATGAAAATTTATTTTTATGGGGGAATAATAGAATAATATAATATAATAAAACTTTTTAAATCTTAGTAATAAAGTATAAGTATCTAGTATATCGAATTTTATTTTCCTATCTACCTATTATATTTATACAGTAAGTATTCGAATGAAACAAATTTCATTTTTCTGTTTGTAATAGTTTTTAAGGAAATTCAAAAGGATGTCCATATTCGGACCTAATTTTGGAAAAGTTTCGATAAATGTAATAAACTCAAAACCGAAATAAAGAAACCCTATCTCAATAACTATATTCACGAAAAATTTTATTTTAACCTTTTTACTGATTTTAATTTTGATCATGTAATTTTGATTTTGCGACACTGTGCGATGCAAACATACGCCTAAAAGTGGACAATATTTATTTATTTGCTTAGTTTTGATTCTGTAGACAAAACATGGAAACCTAAATCATTCGCAGTACATTTTATACAAATAATTGTAAACATAAGTAGTAGAGTACTACTACATAGACACGATTAACATCAATAATATCAAATGAAAAGCTTAAAATAAATTAAAATAAAAAAGAAAAATATGTAAAGCAGGCAACTAATTAATTTATGTGTGCATGCATGGAAATTATATGCAAAGCGACAACACTCATTTACACATAAATATGCAAATTTGTGAAATTTTTCCAAATATGTGCAACAGAATTTTAATGCATAAAATGCAAACAAAAAAAAACACTCATATTTAGTTTGTTTATGTGTTTATGTGAATTTACTCAAGTCATACTATGTTAGGTGGGACGTTGTTAAGAGTTTGCAATTATGCAAAGTGGCGCACATTTTTACACTCAATTCATAATACACTCATACACTTATACACTCATACACATCTATATACACATACACATACACATAAGTAGAGGCAACAACCCATCCAACGTATGTAAACAGGAATAATTTATTGCTACAATAATTCTGCATTTATTTGCGTTAATTTTACTTTATTTCCTGGCACAAATACATGAGTGTATTTTTTTTTCTTCGTCTGTTTACTAACAGTAAACGTTGTCTGCAATTGAGTAAGAGTAAGCGAAAAAGTAAATTTATTTTTTTATTGCTGGTACAAGTGTGAGTGTGTTTGAGTAAGTTTAAGGTCACAAATGATGGCGACATGCAAGAAATCATACAAAACTGCAGATAAGATAAATACGCACTTTAATTTATTGTGTAAATTCACTTTTCATTTCAGTAGAGCGTCAAGTGCGGAAGAAGGGAACATGCAAAAAGCTTGCTTACTTACTTGTGCGCAGTCATAGTAATTGCAGCCACTTGTGGTGGTAGTAGTAGTAGTCGTAGTAGTAGTAGTAGCGGCAGTTATAAATATAATTAACGTCCTTGTTAACGCAACTTTACATCCTTTGGTTTTTCTGCATTTGAGCTTTGTGCTTGTTAAATATTTTATTAAGTTTAAAATAAAATTTAATAAAAATTTCAACATCCTTTTAACATCCTTTTACTTTTTCATAGTAAAAAAAATAGATGTGAAAGATTTTTATATTTGACTTTGATCATTTCGATGTAACATAAAAGTTAAATTGTGTGCTTTTTGTTTTTTTTTTCAAATTTTAAATATATTTAACGTTGAAAATGTTCATATAGTAATCTTCTTTAGCTACTTGCAAGCATAACAAGACTTTTATTCGTCAATTATTTTGTTCTGCGTTGCCATACTAAAGCAGACGCGGTTATGTGCTGTTATTTAATGTACACCACTATAAATGCATACATTTGAGTATGATTGAGAGCTGATTGAGTGGAAAGTATATAGAATATACCTCAATGCAAATGCAAAAATTATGTACAAAATGAAAACAGTTTACATAAACCAAGATTTTCAAATGGATAGTGCGAAATTGTTAATTATTAACTGGAAATTAATTATGGAAAATTGGTTATAATCTATAATTATAATCTCGTCATTAATTTACATCATCACTGCATATGTAAAAAGTTTTCACTTAAAAAAAAATTGATTTACTTAATTTTTTTTATGATCATAACATCCTGTTACCGTGACATCCCGTTTCGACCTAACGCAACATGCCTATTCAGGCACCTCTGTTGTGTGCGCATTTTCTCCAGTCTTGTACATCAAGTACGAAATATATGACACTCAATATGTTGTCAAGATATAACCCCAGGATTTTAGGCAACTTATACCTCATATTAATGTTATATTATCATACAGAAGGTAATGATGTATAGTAAAATATCTTCATATTAAGATTAACAAAAATCATTAAAAATCAGTCAACATAGGCAATTGTCAAGATTTATGGGAATGCATGTTTGATTTCATGTATTATGTTATATTAACTAGAGAAGAAGTTTAGGTGAGAGTTAAGGACATTACTAACCTCCCATGTACTACACTCAGACAAATATGCTCTATCCATATACTAATTAAATTGACCTGATCATTTTGTTGATGTGATTTTAGCCCATGTGCTAAAGAACATATAAAAATCAACAAGTGCTTACAAGAGTAAGAATATTTTGAACTAAGATTTAGTTAAAATCTGGTTAAAACAACCACATTATTTTTCTAAGTTTAGACTTGGTATAGATCAAGCAATCATTGCCAAACGACAGGAATATTCGAAGTATGAAAAAATAAAGAGCAAGGGGTTTTAAACGGGACTGCCATTCAAAATCGAACAATACTAATATACTATATATTGATTTTGATTATATATTTGACTTAACTTCGAGTTCTATTTCATATATTCATACCTATACGCAGTTTTACTGGTTACATTTTTTATCACAAATCTAATTAAGAAGATTTTACTTAAAAATGTATTTATTTATTTATTTTTTATGTTTATTTACATTTACTTTGATTATTTAAATTAATCGTAATTAAATGTCAACACTTCGTAAATATGTCAACTAAAAAAGTTGTTTTAAAAAGCATATTTCACAAAAACAAACACAAAAAAAGAATTGGAAACAAGTGGCAACCTCACTGACCAGCTTGTCACAATTTCTGGTTGTTAACATTAATTTTATGCGCTTTTTTAACTCCTCAACCATTTTAAAGGAAATTAAAACGCTGTTGTCGCAGCGCGAATAAAAACAAACCAAAAAACAAATCTCAAACACATGAAAACTGAAATAAAAACAAAAAAACGCGAAAAAAAGTAAATCACTTTTATGTATATTCTTCTTCGCGTTTTATTGTTGTGTGCGTAACTTGTGTGGTCGGCGGCAACGTTATCATTCATCAGTAACAGCCAGCGACGACTTCACTTTTGAATTTTTTTTCTTAGCAATCAAATTTTTGTCGCTGTATGGTAACTGCTATGACACTTGTCATTGTTGTTGTTTTGATTGCTTTTGCTGTGGTGCTAAAATGACTTTTTATATTTCGCCATTTTCCTCGTTGTGTTATTATTTGCGTACGTGTGTTTTGCTTTGTTTGTGTTTGTGTTTGTAGAGATTGCGGCACGACTTTTGCTTTTAAATTTGCTTTTGTTAAAACTCGTATATGCAAAAAATTCAAATAAAGTACTTATAATTTTTTTTGTATTTTTTTAGTTACTCCTAAACAAAAGACAAAAAGATAGAAGAAACGAAAAAACAACAAAACGCATGCTGTAAAGTACCAACAAAATAAAAAGTTATTTAAGTAGTTTTTTGTGGGACAAACTTAAGCAAATTACCAAAATGTTTTAAATGCGAAAAAAATTTTATTAATATTTGCATTAAGAAATGCATCTATTTTTTAATGGGCAAAGTTTAATAAATAATATATATAAAAGTTTAGCCCAATAATTTTTTTACTTCCTTATTGATGCAATAAAACTTTTTAATGCTGGCAACGTTTTATTTTTTATGATTTTTTAAAATATTTTTGCTCATTTTTCAAATTAAGTATGATTAGCAGCAGTAAAGTTCTCCTTATACTCTTCGCGGGTTGCTGAGCGCCGAGTTTGACATTAAAAGTGGAATTTAGTTCTTTTGAAAAATTGCTATTTTGTTGGTTTCTTATTTATTTAAAGTAAATTTAGTGGTTGGCAATTATGACAGTATTTAAATGCTCATGATATTTCAAAATATATAAATTTTATGTAAGAATATTTTATATTAGGTGAAAATATATTTTTAAATTTCATTTTTATGATTTCATTCATGTAAATATTTTTTTCTACATATTAAATAATAAAAATATACATTTATAATAATACAAAATTATGTTCAAATAAAATTATACCTAAAATAATTTTCTTTTACAGTGTCTTCATGACGTATGAGCAACTATGAATACTCAATACCGCTTGGTCATCTAACATAAAAGGTAAATATATAAATTTTCACTTATATTAATAAAAATTATTGACAATAATATATCTTAAATATTTATTAAAGATTTTAAATAAATTCTTGCTTACTACATTTTTAAAATTTAAAGCTAAACCATTTACAAAAAAATTAAAATAAATTTTAATGAAATAAAAAAGTTTTTATAAAAAAATTCATAAGAATTTAAAAAAAATTTAATAGAACCAAATATAAAAAAAATTAGTAAACAAATTAATAAAAAATTAATAAAGCAATTAATAATAAAAAATAATAAAACCATTAATAACACAATTGATAAGATCATTATTCAAATATCTGACACAAAACTCGAATAGATGAATTTGTAATAAAAAAAATCGATATATATTTCGATTATATTTATTGCAAAAGTTTCTTGAAATTATGGTTCTAAAATATCAGTTATTACTTCTTGCAACTTGCATTTGGTCATGCCTTATCAGATTGATTTTTTTGAACTGTGAAAAATAAAGTTATTACAGAATCACCCATATTGCTATCCACTTAACTATAAGTTAAAGATAAATAAATTGTGCCAAGGGTCTTAGGGCAAATGTGGAGAGCATTTTTCCCAATTGTGATCTCAAGCAGGCCATTTTATAGCTATTATTTGTAGATATTTAAGCTTTATTTTGATCTATCAATGGGTAGTGGTGCTAAGGTAATCATAAACATTTTAAATGTTCCTTAAGAAAGGTTACCATTTTAGATCTTGTCCGCACGCTTTGTATTATAGACTATGACAAGTATTGACGATTTAAAAATTCGTTTCTTTACACATATAATATTTTAATATTTATATGAAATATGTATATTTATATTTATATATATATTAATATTTTAATAAACATTAAGTAAAAAACATTCACTACGTTAATATTAGATTCATTACTTTTGCTAGTATTGAAAAGTATAACGTTTTCACGAGGGATAAAAATTCCATTATTCCACTTTTTATAACTGTCCTATAATTTAACTGACATTTCACTTTGCTATTACTGAGTTAGTTTTAATTCTCGTATTTACAAGTTGTTCAAGTATGAATATATATGAGGGGCACACCTAGATAATTTATAATAATCTTTTAGGTATATGATCTGCAACAAAAATTTCATTATGGTTTTAACCTCATTGTAAATTAGTATTTATTAAGGCACATTCGCTATAACATCTTATTGTAAATTAGTATTGATCTAGGCATATTCGCTATAACATCTCATTAAAAATTAGTGCTATTTTAGGCACATACCCTGTAATAAATATATCATTATGGCGATCATCTGATTGTAATTAGTATTAATTTAGACGCATACGTAAAATATACCAAGATAATATATATATATATAAATTAAAGCAATGCACTAAATCAATTACTATCTTGTAAAATATCGGTCATTCACCGTAGATAATAAGTATTGCGGCTCTATCTAGATCTTGATTAGTATATAAATTGTAAATAAGATTCAATTTGATCGTCAATTTAAACACTCTAGTTTAAAAGAGATTTATTCTATATAACAAATATACGTCTAGTTTATTTTATATATAAAACTTCCTAGTTGGTTAATGAATCATGAATGGATTATATTTTAAAAACTTCACTTAGCAAAACATCAGTTTTACATAAAATTTATATCAAAATTGTTATTTTAAGTGAGATTTTTTTAAAAATTGCTTTGAATACAGAACCTTCACACAAATTTGAAATTTATTTTGAAATTTATATGAAATTTATATGAAATTTACTTTTCATACTCTGCTGAGTCTCTGCAATAATTAGAACACAACATTTTCCATTTTAATAAAATTCAATTTTAGATATTAAATTATGGACGGGCCTTGCTTGAGAGAGGTGCTTCACAGAGTTGGCAGTCCTGGATATGAATTTGTAAAATATGCTCAAATACGAGTAGACAAAATTGCTCGTCTGTGATAAATGCTTTCTATGATTTAATATTTCAATGAAACTCCGTCAGTGGGCTTTGTACGTACCAGGTTGCTTTTGTAAATTACTTTATATTTGCATTCAAAAGTGATACAACAAAATTTAATAATAAAATATTATTTTCCAAAACGATCTAAATTTAAATTCTAAAATAATTTTGAGTTTTTATTAAAGACATGAAGACTCTTTTCCTTCTGTGCATTATATTACCAAGGTTATATTTTTTTAAATTTAAAAAAAACTAAGAACAAATTATTTAAAGATTATAGAACTTTTTTCCTCGATTACTAAAAACCTTTCAGTAGTCAAGTACAAAAGCAGAAAATTGCTTAACAAAGTCATACAAAACTCTTGCCAACATATTTCATGCATTCTGCTTCCTATCATGACATCACATCACAACATTTGTGACTTTTTAACTTTTTCCTCGCGTTTATATATAGACAACACAAACATCGACAGCAGTATTAACTACAGAATACAAAAACAACACTAGTAACACCAACACCAACAGCAATAACAACAACAACAACAACCACAACTACAACAATAATAATAATAGCAGCAACAATGATAACATAAGCCACATCGCTAACAGCAGGAATAGCACATATGGCAGCGCATTTATTGTTAACCTCAGTTTAACCACAACCCGATGCTTTGTGGTTAGTTCCGAGTCATTCCTTTGAGGCCATTCAACGCAATCCAACTTAGCTCATTCAGAAAATCAACAACTATTTCTCCACTTAAAATTTATTAAATGCAAACCCTTCGAGTCCCGCAATTATATAATTCGCATTCTTGCATACAGGAAGAGAGTTAAAAAAGCATAAGAAGCAATTTAATGCCCTGTGCACTGTGACTGTAACAGTGACTGTGAGTGTGACTGTGACTGTGACTATGCCAGAGAGGAAGAAATTTATAGAAAATGGTTACAATTATGAGTTAGCACTCGTAGTTCGTACGATTTGATGTTGGATATTTGATGTTGGAGCAAAGGGTGACCATGATGATAATGGTGATAATGATGACAGCATTGTGTGTTTGCGATTATGTTTGCCAACTTTTTTCCTATTCAAAAGTTATGAATGGTGTGGGTGTGTTTACATGCACAGCTGGAGCCAGTTATGCATTGCTTACATGGTTGGCTGTAGACACACAACTTAGCCACATATCTGCACAACCGCACAATTCTAATGACCAGTGACGACTATTATCCTTTTGATATTATTATACGGAAATGATATGCTTTTGTGTGCTGCTGCGACAAATGAGTGGTAACACCGACTGATGACGACTACATTGAGGCCGGACCTGATAATGATAGCTATGATAATGATGGCTGCATAACGGATGCTCGTTGGTTTTAGTCGTATTGTTGCTGTGCACTTAATGTTAGTGATGATCTATTAAATGGACGCATTGTGTATGTGCTGACAGTGTCAGTCTTGATGTATGACTTGTTACGACCGAAGGCATTAATGTTGGAAGCAAGACAAACAAAACACAAAACAAACGATTTGCATACAAATATTCTAATGACAGGAAAAAATTTTCTTCAAGTGAATAAAAAATAGAATAATATAAATAATATTAAAGTAATATTAATGAAAATATATACAAAAAAAACTCATACTACCAACTGTTGTCAACTTGAACAATATTTTTTTCATCATTAGAAGCTACTACATTTCCACAGCGTATATTCTGGTTTAAGTAGATTTTTTTTGTTAAAGCAATTTAAGTAAATTTAAAAATCTTTAATACATTAAAGTGAATTTAGTAAATTTCTTAAACTGTTGAAAAATATATAAATAAGTTGTTTGATACAGCGATGTCAGCCAGATGATCACAAGATGAATAACGATTGCGAATAGGTGCGAAATAGGTGCTTAGTAGATAATTGGGGGCCATAGTGGTTATTTAATAATAGAGTTATCTCTTGATAGACAAAAACTTAAGCACTATAGCTTGCACATTCTACCTGTGCTGTTCTTACCACAAAAGCGTGGATGCTATCACAGGATGATGAAATAGCACTGAGAAGAACTTCCATAAGAGAAGAAGTTCTTCATAAGATTTTTAATCCTCTACAAGTGAGTGACAACTACCGCATTCGAATGAATCACGAACTGTATGAGCTTTATCACAATATTTATAATAATTTAGCGAATTAATATCCACTGGTTTCGCTGAATGACGATGCTCCAGAGGAAAAAGACAACGGATAGACCCTATCTCTGGTTGAGCGATTAAGTTGAGACTCACTAAGCGCACTTGATATACGCAACTGATGAAATCACCTGCAGCAGAAACACCTGGAGAGATATGTTGCGTCAGGTCGAAATCCGATAACAAGTTGTTATGGACTTAAGTAAGTAAGTAAGGGAGCATTACAGATTCTTTTTACATGAAATAATAATCATAAAAATATGATTTTATAAGTATGATTTGTATGTAAAATATGATTTGTAAGTGCTTATAATAGTAATCATATGTTAGAAAATAAAGATGATTTATTTGTGTGCATAAGATTCTGGACTAAAGAGAAAATGAGTATACAAAAAGAGACCGTATTAGTCTTTGCAAGTTTAGCAGTTTGTGACGACGTGAAGCGTTTTTAATATCAAGGAATCGGAGATTGTCACTTTTGACAACGTGACTATCATGCGGAATAAAATTGTATTTAGGAGTGAAAAGAACTTTCATGTAATTTTCTTATAGATAATGCTAATAGCAGAGCCTTCAATTTGTAGGTTTGAAGATTGAATACCCCTGGACGGTTACGATAAACGCGAAGTAAAGTAATTACCGATATGTTTCAGTGAAAAAGTGATTGTTTCATACATTTAATTAACCTATACGAAAATTCAAAAATATTTTAAGGGAGATGTGTTTTAACCTTAGATCGCACTCGACTGTTAGCAATACTCTTTTTTTTTAATGTATGATTCTTAATACAAATTTAAGCGACTATATATATAATTATTATCAAAAAGAATTATTATACTAAGTATTCTAACTTTTTTCTA